AGTGATTAATCTATTAAATTTATTTTTTGATAAAAATTTTAATACATAAAATAAAAATCATTTTTTAAATAAATTTTTAAATTTATTTTTACCCATGTGGAGAATGATGAAATTACCGTCCCAGACTGATTGGTGATGATAGATGGTAAATCTGATTCCATGTATTTTAATAAAATGTTTATTATCAAATAATATTTATATGTTTTTAACCCTTATTTATAGAGATGATTAAAGTCGAGAGTATTTCTATAAGTTCACTAATATTACTGTCAGTAGTAGACCATTATAAAAGACAAAGCTATCCGCGTGTTTTAGGAATATTATTAGGAATAAACAAGTTGATAAGATTGAGGTTACAAACTCCTTTGCATTTCCCTTTGAAAAGAAAGAAGATGAATTTCATATTGAGACTTCTTATCTCTTCAACATGTATCGTTTATTCCACAAGGTAAATAACAAAGAAAAGATAGTTGGTTGGTATCACAGTGGATCTAAATTACACAGAAATGATTTAGAAATAACCAAGTCGTTAGCTAAGATTTACAACGTAGAAAACATGGTCTTGTGTGTTGTAAAAATAAATGAGCAAGATACAGTTCCTGTACAAACCTACTATTTCGATGGGATTGAACATAAACTTATAAAAAAGATTTTAGTTGGTGCTGATGAAAATGAAGAAATTGGAGTTGAACATCTTTTAAGAGATATTAAAACAACTACAGGTACCACGCCTAAAGACAAACTTATGTCTATTAAAAATTCATTAAAAAAATTTAAAAATTCATTAGATAATGTAATTGCATATTTGGACTCAGAAAATCATAATTCAAACATTATTAATTTGATACAAGAAACCATTAATCTTTTTCCTAAAACATCTTTTAATGTTGATATGGATAGAATTTATAACGCAGAGTTTATGAATTTAATTGTTGCAATGAATAATCTACAAAAAAATAAGTTTAATTAAAATTTATTAAACAACCTTTTTTTTACCCATGAATTTTCTCATTTTAACTGTATTAATTACAATTTTTAGTTTAAAGAGAGAAAGAGTCGAGTA